TTAATTTAAAAGAAAAATATGTCTTTTGGTGGTCTTATGAGGTTAGCTTTATTAGAACAATTGGAAAATGTTCTTGAAAATAAACATTATTATCGAAAATGTTATCCTGAACTGTTAAGTTGCCATAACGTGTGGCCGTTAAAAATTGCATTTATGATACAGCACAGGGCTGATTATCTGCTATATAGTGGTATGATCCACTATCCATTTTTGCCCCAAAAATAAGTAAAACTTAATAGATCTGCTTAGCTAGTCGACGATATGACCATTGATTAGCTAAAATTTAATTCTTTTAGACAAAGATTACATAAGATTTTTTTAAAGTCATTAAACAAATCTTAAAAGGCAGTGAAAAGAAACGAGAAAATAAATGAAAAATTACTGGCAATGAATAAACTAGGAATCGCAGCTTCATATCCGTCTTATAAAAGCAGATAAATAAAATTTGATTTTTTATCTGAATTGACACTTTATTATACGAAAAACATTTCATTTCATGCAAATGTGTTTTAAACAGTTGAGATGATGCTATAAGTCACCAATCACCCGTTACTCTCTCAAATATTTAAAGCATTTTATACATTTATTTCGTATTTTGCTAAATATACTATGACTAGATATTACACATTTATTCGGAACGACAACTTAAGGTACATAACAACGGACCAACGTTTTAAATGGATTACTTTGCTTTGCCTCGTTCCATTTAGAAAATACTTTTTCCAAGTGTTTGTTTTGTTTAGAAAAAACTGTCAATAATTGTTAAATACATCGATGTTATTTACAAAACCTGTGATTCAAAGTAAAATTATTACGCTTTCATATATGGCATATTCTAACACTTTAGTGAATTATAAATGTTTCTGCATATACATTCATTTACATGCACGATTTATTAACTAATTTTATACGAGAAATAATTCATTCAATGAAATAACGGACATACATGTATAACATGAAATGTTTATGTAAGTCAAAGAATATTTACAAACATCCTCACTAGAAATGTATACATATAGTGTTTTATTATCTAAAGTAAAACATTTCGATTTTTGGAGAATCTAATACGTCAATGAATATTTAAGTGATTAAATCGTAAAAAGTTTGGCTCACGTGTTAATGATACTTAAATTCATCCAATTAGGTTTTTGACGCTGCTCTATGCCACTCTCTTCTAAACGACTACATATATAAAACAATAAGTTACTTTAAACAATGAAGATTATTAACTTTAATTTGAACACACGGGCGACCAAGAAATAATAAAAAAATACTGGAAATATTTTAAAACGTACAAAATGTTACTATGCAAGTTTCAGGGTGTGCTCTCGCTATATTTGTCTTCTTGTTAGTTGCTTCAGTCTATTTTGGCTCATTTGTCTTTAAGTTCAAGTAGCGTTGGCATTCTCAAATCCTTTAACGAGGGTCTCTATTATAAATTTTATCGTTATTTTGTATATGTTTTCTACATTAGACGTATATCGGTCCCCTAATGTCGTCTCTACTGCCTCCAGAAATGGCTTCTCAATTCTCTGAAAACGAAAATAAGATTATTTGAAAAATTACCCAATCGCAGTTGCTATTTCGAAACAATTTATGCTGAAAAATGTGTTGCACTGATTTCATTCAACATGGAAAATATATGCTGATGTGGGTAGGAAAATTGGGAATTCAACCAATTGAAGTGAAGGAAATTGATGCGAATAAAATGTGAACACGAAATTGCGAGTAGTTGTTTTAATAATTAGTCTAATTTTAGCAGTATTTTTGTTCTGTTTATGATATGCAATTTATTTATTCTTGATCAGCATACCAAGATCGTAATTAATCGAACAAGGTTTTTATTTTATTTTAAATTTAGTGGACAGAAGAACGCAGGAACATTTAAACTATCATTGCTCATTGAAGCTTTCCAAATGACCTTTTGTGTTTAGGCCCAGTTTCATCTTGATGGCTTTGTTAATCGGTAAAATTGTCTCATTTGGGGTTCCGACAATCCACGAGTGATCGTTCAGAAACAGATGCATCCAAAAAAAGTAACTGTTTGGTGTGCATTGTGGGCTGGAGGCATCATCGGACCATTTTTCTTTGAAAATGCAGTTGGTTAAGCATTAACCATGAGTGGTGTTCGTTATCGTGAAATGTTGACTAACTTTTTTGTGCCCAAATTGCAAAATATGGATCTCAACAGCATGTGGCACAGGACGGTGCAACAGGCCATACGGCCAGAGAAACTGTTGAACTACTGCACGAGTCATTTCCTGGTCGTATTATTTCTCGTTTTGGAGATCGGCATTGACCGCCCAGATCATGCGACTTAACGCATTTGGACTTTTTTCTTGGGTTTTTTTTAAAGTCACAAGTTCATGTGAACAAACCAACTACGATTGAAGCATTAAAAGATGCTTGAAATTTAACACTGTATCTCTGAAATACCGCGACATTTATCCGCAACAGTCCTTGAAAATTTCATGAAAAGAGCACGTCTGTACCAGCAGAGCCGAGGCGGTCATTTGTTCAATGTTTTATTCCATTCATCCATTCATTCCATTCATCCATTCCATCACAACCTCATGATGTGTACTTCATATTGCAATAAATGATTCAAACTTCTGCCACAAATATTTGTATTTATAGTTTTATTTAAAATTTAAATCCGCCGTTCTTTCGCCTGATCGGGCGACAGTTTCTAATTTAGGTATGCCTTCTTTTTGTGAATAATAGTAATAGTACCGTTGTTCCACTTGCTAGGTGTTATCCCTTTAATAAGACATGCAAATGTCTCTGGGTATGCTGATCTGTGTATAGTTCTTTAGAAAAGCACTCCATTAATCTGAGTATTCCTTCTTTATCAGTGATAGTTGTATATATATGTTTTTCTTTCCGGGACTGCACTTCCGTTTTAAGACTCTTAAACTGCCATTATCCTCGATCACAGTTTATCAGGTCAGTGTTGGATTTTATAATGCCGTCTCTTATAGGTTTTAAAAAGGATTTTAGTTTTGGGAGATTTGCACCAGTCTTCTCTTTCATTTGCCTTGTCTTTCATAAGCGTTTTTGTGTGTGCGCTTAGTTTTTCATGTTTTTTATTTGTGAGCGGCAATGTCTCTCATCTGCCATCCTCACAGCGTTCAATATACTCTCGTTTTATAATTCCAGGTGAGTTTATCTCTCCTGTGTCTTTAATAATCCCTCTAATATCTCTTCTCTCCTCCGTTGGTACAGCTGTATGTTTTCAGGAGGAATCCCTCTATTTAAGCGATTCGATTTGGTAATCAGCTTCTGTCTTTCCTTTTTAACGCTTAATTTCAGTTTGGCACGCACCATTCTGTGGTCGCTTCCCATTGAAGCTTTATTAAGAACTGTGACGTCCTGAACAATGTCTTTTATGTTCCAGATTATAAAGTCTATCCCGTTTCTTGTTTTTCCAGCTGGACTTATACACGTCCACTTGCGTTGCGGGTTTTTGTTAAAATAGGAATTGATTAGGAAAAGTTGATGTTGGACAAAAAACAATATTGCATAGTGTGTTGGTTTGGTTGGTATTGTAGGGCTTCGCTAATATTATCATAGAAGGTCTCTATTTGAGCATCGTCGGAGTTTGATGTTGGAGCAGAAGTTTGGATGATTTTCAGATGGTATCGATTATTTATTTTCATCTGATCACTCGTGGACATATACTTTTGATTTCGAATATGTTGTTAACCAACGTTTTATGGATGAAAAATCCTACACCGCCTTCAGATGCCGCATATTGGCCTTTATGGTGGAAGAGGTGACTTCAGGATTATTTGATTTTCCCCTTTTCTTCTAACGTCGCGTAGACCTACTATCTGGGACGGTCAGTGCATGTACATAAAGTGTCTCGGACATTCTTTATCATTTTATGAAATGAAAGAAAATTGTTTATGGTTTTCAATGTTTAGGTTAATTTATTTAAATATATTTACCGGTCGTTCGGGCTGAACACGGACTGGCTGTTATTGGTCAATATTTTCCTTTGATCATTTGATGCACGGCGTAAAAACCTACCCAACAATACATTTTTGCAGTATAAATTCGCCATAGAACACAGGGTGAAAATTTTATGAATTTAATTTTGTTCTTGGAATTTGAAAACCATAAAAGAAACTGTTCCACACAAGAGTGTGGAAATCAGTATTTTTTCCTGATGTCCTCTATTATTAGTAAGCTCATGGCAATTTTATTAGAAAATATTGTTTTTTGTCTTAAATAATTCCGTTCTAGTAAAAAGGTAATTTTAGAGAGGTGACAGTGGACACCATGGTTAAGCAGTATAAAAAGGAAATCGGCATTATTTTTAAGAGCTTCAATGATGAAAACGTCGCTAGGGCACTCGGAGAAATTGGACAAGGCAGAAAAAGTTCAAGTCAGACTTAATTATAGGCAAAATAGACAAAAACTAAACACAAAAATTGGGAAAGACCAACATCCACCTTACACGACAAGAAAAAGGAACGAAAATGAAGAAACATGGCATACAGTGCCTAATTTCACAAGAAGAAGAGAAACTTAATAAGTATAAGAATACCCCTCTTACTAGGTGCTAACACCATTTTTAACGCTTAATAAAAGGTGGTCCGCCTTTAATCCACACATAGGGGTGAAGGCAAACACCCTTCATATACAAAAGATTACTGGGGAATGAAAAGTTAATTTGTTTTATTACGGAATTCGACAAAGGAGACACAGAAGACTTTCTTTTCAAAATCATACGTTTTCTTAAGAAACAACTGAAAACATCGTCCGACTTTACCCCGAACGACGGCACTCCAAAAAATGTATGTTCTTGACATAAAAAAAGCTTGTTTATTATATTTCTAGAAAATTTTACTTGCTCAAACTTCATTTCCATTCACTAATAACGATATTCCAATAATTCTTCACTCAACTGAACTTTATAAAAGAAAATCTTTCATATTTATCAGATCTAAATGTTGTGTAATCAAATATTCAAAACACATGCCTTCAATATATTTTCTATCAATGAAATTTGCTTCGTGTCGTCTCTTTTTCATATTGTATGCCAAATGAAATAAATAAAAATGCCGTTAATAAATAATTTTATCAAATAAAACAATAACCCTAACTTTTTAACATATCTGATTTTGCAGATTTCGGGACTTAAATAACTTCGGTGGGAATTTTAAGCAGAGCTTTTCTAGCCTTTGTGATACATACGAAACAGGAAGTAAAATTCCTAAAGAAAAACCTTTCAAAGAATTAAGCTCATCGAAAATATCTATATCATCATATTTTTCACCAGCTTGTCTCTTCCAGTGCTGGGCTTTCTTAATCCGAGCCACATTGTTAAGTCGTAGTCAGTTTGAAAACATCCTTTGCCAAACTTCAATCTCGTATTTCTGTAGCCTCGTTTCTTGTTTCGACCGTCTCCTATTTAAGTAGGCTTTATCTCTGTGATGTTATTGTAGGAAGAGATAATATTCTTTGTATTGCATCTTTAGCTCTACTACACAGTTCTTCATTTTGCATTTACTTTGTATTTTGAGTTTTAATTTGTTTTTTATTTCAGTAAGTTAAAATGTCAACTGTGTTGATTTCTCCTGATAACTATTTGTGTTCCTGCAAATTCAATAATTCAGAAGAATTCAAGGAGTCTGTTTTAAGTATATTTAATTTATATATTATGCATTTTAAATGCTCATTTAAAACTACATATATCAAAACACCTTAAATAATGAGTCACGTAAATAAAAGTAGTTTCTTCCACTTCTACGCTTTTGGTCGAGGATACAAAGCAATAACGGAAGGCAATTCACGTTTTTACGAGCATCATTTCAACGATTATTTCAGACAGTTATATGGGGTGGCAATTCGGAAGCATAAGGGATGGTCCCACTACCACACAAATTGCTCCTGAATATTATCCACTTCATTAAATAAGAAAAAGTTTTTGTGACATGTTCATGGATCTTGTTAAAACTTATACACTTCTGTTTTTATATAGCTTAGGCACATTGTATGCTTATGAAACGGCCTTAGATATATCATTGTCTTGACCGTAGCCTATCTCTTTGTGTTTCCTTTCGAGTTTCCACCTCGATAATCGTATAAAATAAATTATTTCAGGGTTTATCTAAGACATATCTGACCTACTGATGGATAGCGTGCTTACTAAATCTGATAGGAAGGGCGAATAGATCTCATGGCTGATTCAGCCAACAATCAATCTGTTTTATATTATCACAGGTTCTATTCTTCTTGATGAGCGTACTAAATGAAAAACGTAGACAATATTGAGTAGGGGGTTATTCAAACGATTTCAAGCTCAAGCAAACTTTTTCACTGTGTTTATTTTTTGAGAAAGTTGAGAGCAAATGAAATATAAAATTCGTAGTCTCTACGAATCACGAAATGGGAAATTCAATGCCAATTACTTTGCACAATATGAAAGTAAATGCGGTTTTATTGAGATCTTTAAATACAAACAATTCTCAAAATTACAGCTGTTTCGAATGTTTTATCAAATAGATAGATTTGGCGTTTTTTATTTAAAAAATAAGCCCAGATATTTTTTTCTTAATTGAAGCCAAAATGTTCAATGATATATTAATCTCAGTTTTGTAATTATTACTAATTTTTCAATTGGTTTTAGTGTTGCTGCGCTTTAGATGATTTTTTTTCTGGAATGTTGAAGCATTAGAAAGGAACTTTATATAATACCATTTCCCAGTAAACTGTCGATTTCGTAATTAAAATGATTTAATAATGCAAATGATACTAAATCAATTCCTCCGTCTACCATTTCCACTGTTTTTCCCATGTTACCTTACCCAAAAATACTCGGCTTTAAATCCTGGTATCCTTCGATGACTAGCTCCGACTTGATTCAGGTACTCGAAAAATGTGTCTAAGTCATCAAGACCTTTAATGCCTTCATCCAACGTACTCATAACGGTTGTCGCATGTTCAGCTAACTCCAAACTAGTTGCTTGGTCTTCTTTCGATTTCAGGGATTTGAATTTTTCGAAAAGTAGAAGCAGTTCACTGTGTTCCTCAAAGAGCCTGAAATGAAACGAATTTTTAATATGGAAGTTGCAGAGGAAGTTTAAGAAGAACATGGGAATACTTTAATAAAGAGTTATGTTTCAAAAAAGCATCTTGCCTAATTTCAGAAAAAAACCCTTGGATTTTTTTAGGTCTATTTGAGATCTGACTGTTTACATTGAGCTTAAGCCAATGTGTTTTGTTAATTCTGGAACTCATTTGCTATCACAGAAATTTTATGTTAGAAATACAAAAAAAATGAACCGGTCAGTTAACGAACTTTTTCAAATATTTTTGAAGAAGTCAGGGGAAGTAATTAACAAAGACTAGAAAAGAGGCGATTTTCATTACATGAAAAATATTATAAATTAGTATACAAAATTATCATTTTTACTAGTCAACTAATCTGCTCTGGAAATTCAACATTCTTCAGGAAATACCTTATAGTACCTATAATATAGTATAAGTAGTTTTTGCAAATCCAATACTGCAAAGCTAGATTAATTAGTACTTTCGTGACTTGCAACTTAGGGGGTTTATAAAAGCAGCCAGATCCAAAATAATGAAATTTTAATCAAATGCATTCATTATGTGGCCTGCTTTTCCAAACTTTTTCAATATGCATTCAGTTAGGACGGAACGGTTGCCTCAGACTGGAAGATTGTTTTAGAAAGCATTCAAGATCAAATCTAGGGCAAGTAGCGCATTTAATTTTATCAGAGTTGTCGGAATCTTTTAATGCCGCAATATTAAAAATGTATGAAAGAATCTAATTTTAGCTAGAATTATTAATAGTCATACCATTAACGTATTATTGAAAATAACTGTTATAATCTGCTATTCTCAAATTTTAAGTGAATTCTAACCAGCTAATACCGTTTAATTATAGCCAATAACATCAGATGCAAATTATTTGAAATGAATATTTTTAAATGTGTAGTCAAAGTGTGCTTAAGTTAACTCCTTATTTTAATCATTATTTATATTAGTTCATCACCTAATTCGGTGATTACTACGTTAATGTATTTTAGATTTCATTCAGCACTGATTTTTAGTGCACTGGTTTCGTTTGAAAGTTTAAAATGTGACTTTCGGACTTTTAAACAAAGTATGCTACCAATTACAAAATTAAAATGTAAAGCGATTTCAAAAGCGTGTGTGCAATTACCTGCACCGCAAATCCCACTCATGGAACTGCATTTACATCATTTGTAATACAAACCGTACAAATCTTCCTCAATTTGCAATTTCCAGCATCAATGTGTTCCAGATTTCCTACATTAAAGTTAAACAGTTAAATTTCCTAAATCAACCAAACACCAAAGCCTAAATAAGCTCTCAGCACACTAAGTGCTTTAATAGAGAAGCTAAACTTTGTTCAGTCCGAAGAGCATCGACTAATTGCTCTAAATCAATCCTATAACGTACAAGCATCAGCTTCATGGAAGGAGCGATTGAATTTTGTATGTGTAACAAGCAAAATGTATTATAAGACAAAAGCCTATTTGCATAATATTGCCTTGTTTGCGTCTTTTGCTGATCAATAACAAGTTGCATATTTTTGAAGTGATTCTATGTAAACAGTCTTTGCGTCTTAGGAAACAGGAGGCTATGGACCCAATCTTACCCTTTCTGCCTTTGCCTGTAGGTACTATCATATGTTAAGGTTCAAAACTATTCAATTTGCCAGTTAGCTGGTTATAAGTAGAGTTTGTTTTGGAAAGCAAAAGGAGTGTCTTCTCTTGTAAAAAAAATTGCTGTTTGCTTTTGCAAGTCCTTATCAATATGAGGCATTTCTATGCGTATTTGTCATATTTACTTCGCCACATACGGATTCGCTCATTCAGCCAAGCGATGATGATTATCTAGGTCTGAATTGTTCAGCCATGTTACGCTTCTTTTTAAATAATTCTCGATACTTCTTGGATTTCATTCTTACAGACATTTAGTGCTTCCCAATTTGCTTTGTTTGTAACTTTCAAACTAATGAGGTGGTTGGGAAAATGTTGTAATTTGATAAAGATCAAACGGGTTGTTTTGAACAAGAGCCAGAACAAATATAAATTCAATGGACGAAACCGCCCCAGTTTCCTCGTTAACGATAAATTACGAAAGTTTAGGAATATCGCCCAATTAAACAGTAATATATCTTTTAGCAGCTTTGCCTTTAATATTATATTCATTTTAGCACCGTTGCAAGTCGCAAACAGCAATTAAATTGATTAACGGGGGCGTTAAATTGATGTGTTATTACTAATACGTTTATCGGTCAATGTTTTTCCGGTAATCAGCTCCATTAAGACTGTAGCGAATGAAGCTATTTGATTTTACATTCAATGCCAAAAACAAATATATCATGGTAAAGGATCCATCATCTCTGAAAGGAATTAATTCATGAAAATAATGTGAAAATTTAAACTTGAACATTCGATTATTTTTACGCTGTCAACAAAAGAAATGCTAATTTATAAAAGTTTCGTTTGAATGGTCTAGATTGGAACTAAATGTATCTTCCAAAATACTACTACATATAAAGTCATCATGTTATATTTACAGTCTAGAAAATTAGTTAGTCAAAAATACTACTTCTGGAAGTCAAAGTCGTATTATCCTATTTTTTTAAACAGAACCCGCATGTTTATGATTCAACTGTATTCAAGAAATAATATCCTTTTATATAATAACTCTATTATCGTCCGCTTTACAAATTACCTGCTTTGCTTTTCTTACTCCTGCGTAAAGAATGTTTCGGATTTTCTGTTGAAAGTAAAACAACTTTAAGACTCAACGTTGCTTCCTAATTGGTAAGACGCGTTCCATCTTTTTTTTGTTACTTTTCAACATTTTGCTTCAACTTTTTTAGTGCCTTTTTGCCCAAAGTTACATTTGAAAAATATACAGACTATGTATGTGATAGTAACGTAAAATAGTCACTTTTTATTAGTTTGCAATCGGTTTATTTTATAAGCACTTCCTGTAGGTATTCCAGTCGAAATGCTTTATTTCATCTGAAAATCTGCGAAATGGGATTTCGGTGAGAAAATGCAGTTACATTTTCATTATCGGGGGCTCTAAATTCATTTCGAAAAAATTGGAAATAAAATTTTCATAAGCAACTAAATAATATGTAAGATATTTTTTTAGAGTAGTGTTTTTCTATTTAAGATATTCTTACAAAGTGTGTGTAAATTTTTATTTCTGCTGGCAAAGAGCAATTTTGCTGAAAATGGCGTACAATAGATATTTCCAACTGTAGTGGAACAACTAATTCAGAAAAACCTAAACCAAAATAGAAGTAAATTTCTAGTGGAAAATTTTAAGTTTGATATCGACTAAATCTATGCATACATAACTGCTTCTTCTTTTTTTTTTATTAAATTGCCAAAATAGTTATTTTACAACCATATTCACATTTTGGGTTTAAAATAGAACATAATACACAACTCGAAATTTTTAAAACATATTGCATTTGCTTCCGACGAATAATATTTAACGCAGCAGTAAATGACTAATTTATGTGTTGAATAGAAGGAGAAAGCAAAAATTTCCTGAACAACTCTAAAATATAAAAATAGTAAATTTCTACAAGCAATTCAGTACTCGTTGAAATACCCTAAATAAACGACGCGAAATCGACCAAATCTGAACTGCTCACAGTTTTTATAACTAGCGTCCATCTGAAAATGTTTTCATGTTTAAATCCCCACATCCTGCAAGACACGATTTACCAAAAACTCTGCGATTATGCTTGCAAATGACAGCAAGCCCCAATTACTAAAAATACACTCAACAGAAAAATCGTTCCAGTTTCCATTCCCTTAAACGCCATCAGTTGAAGATTTCAATTTATTGTTGTAAATTTTCGCAATACATTAACATTTTAAATAGACTTTTAAGGTGCAATAAACGAATATAAAATAATTTTAAGAAAACAAAAATGCTAAACGAGAAACGGAAAAGAACATATGAAAATAATCAAGGACTCTGAAAAGTTAAAAATGTTCAAAATTTTGCTGCAAATTGCTGGTAAAGAGTAATGATTAAAAAGTTGTCAAATAAACAAATTCAATCATCAATTTTGAGAAATTTGCTCAATTCGAGCAGTTATAGAAATACTCCGGTGATGACCCAACATCACTAGCAAAATTGGGAAAGCGAGTAGTATTCGCACGAACAGAGTATTTGTTGTAAATCTACTTCTTAAAAACGTTTATTAAGAAGATTCTCTCAGAGGTTTCAAACTTTAATTTTTGCAAAACAACTTTGATTTGAGAATAAATTATTTTCTTGTAATTTTTGCCGTCCTTCCAAATACTCCGCAAGATCAAGTCCAGAAGGACGAATGACGCCAATTTTACATTCACACACTATAGAGTACACCTTTTTACAGGTCAAAAAAAATACAATCTCGTCAACTTCTACAAATGTTTACATAATTTTCTGTTTTTATGAATGTGGGTTTAATTTTTACCATAACAAAGCGGAACCAGCAACGTGAAAAAACCGCATGAAAAGAGACATTATTATTAAAACACATGTTTATTTCCCACAATATCAAGAACATTAATCTTAACAGTCTATAACGCGATTCAATTCCCTAATTCAAATATTGTTCGTATGATTAGTGTGCATATCATATTAATCAACGGTAAACCTGCTACTATAATACCTATAAGCTTGGATGTGACAAGTGCAAAATACATAATTACCTCCCTTATGAATACAGCAATTATGTGCTAATTTAATACTGAAAAATGTAGCAAGTAAACTAATTTACGTTGAGTGTTTGGGGAAGTTTCTATTTTAGTACGACATATTGCAGGTGAAATTAGGAAAATTGGTATAAAAGGGAAACTTTGCGTCCTATTTGGGCATACTTTGTCTGAACTCTGCTTACTGATAACTCTATTAGCATTATGTTTGAATACCACCAAATTGTTTGGTAGAAATATTTGACAATATATTTATACCAAATGAGCAAGAGCAATTATTAGCAATTATACGCGATTAAATTATAG